ATAAGTAAAAGTTTAGTACAACTGAAAGTTATTGATATTATAATGCATATCATTAAGCTGTTCAGAAATAAGCTTGTTTTTTTATTGGGATTAAAAAATGCTTATAATAATGTTAGTAATGATTTAAAATTGCTTATTTATTACTTGAATAATAAGAATTTATTTTGCCTTAAAAAAATGTTATTAATTTTTTATGTAAAATTGAATCCTTCAATGTTTAATTTTTATTTCACATTTATAAAAAATATTATAAAGCAATTTTTAATAATTTTTAATTAAAAATTTATGCAAAGTAAAACAAAGCTTAAAAAAATAATATTTAATTACAATATTTTTGACTAATTAATTTCAAATTAATCAAAATTGTTGATGTAATACATTATTACGATAAAAATGATGATAAAGCAAATGTGTAACACATTTAATGATGTAACAATATCCGATCAGTCAATTTGTATTTAATTCAAATAAATAGTATTGTGAATTGTTGGTATTGATCTAATGATTAATATTAATTTTTACTTATTACTTAGCTGCTTTTAATCGATTTAAAAAACATACCTAAAAATAAGACTACAAAAAAATTATTAAAAAAATAGAATAAAAATAAAAATAATTCAAAATGCATGTAAAAATTGTAAAAAGAATGCCATATAAATTGATATTTAGTTGGAATTATAGTTGTGAATGCAAAATAAAAATATTACATTAATTGAGAAGTACTTTTTCATTAAATAATAATAAGTTTTGACTGAATCTATCCAATAATACATCATTTCATCTTAATATCTATCCCATCCTGCTCATTTTATCTAGCGAGAAGGTAAGGCAAGCTTCGATTTGATAAGTTGCTTTAGAAGACAAGCAACTCTATAAGTTATCATAAGTAATGATTAACGTACAACGATTTATATGTTCGTAAAATATAATCTCTTCAGTAATCACAAAAGTAAGTAAGTAAGTAAGTAAGTAAGTAATATATTTAATTTATATTTTTTAAGTTATTGAATAATTAAAATTTACATTTTCAACTATAAATATGAATATTTTCTTGAAAATTACAAATACAAATATATTTTTAACTACAAAGGCATTTTACTTTCAAATATTATCAGCAGTATTAGTTGAAATATCACTTTTTAGCTGATCTAATTGATTATTCATTTCTTATTAATTAAAGAAATTGAAGGTTTCTGCTTTGATTATTCTTGCTTGTAATATGCAAATATGCCATGAAGAAAGTTTTGCTTTCAGAATAAGTTTATTCCACTTACTTTGTACAGTACTTCAGAATTGTACTTAAATTTTTATTAATAAATTTAATTGCAGTTTTCGAGTTATAGTATAAAAGCAAAAAGGTAACTTCTTAAGATGTTCATAAAGTAATCAGTCTTGCCAAGTTTAGACTTATTTGCATTAAACTCTCGTAATTATTTTTGCATATCGATGCTTTTCCTCTTAATGAGGTGAGTTGCATTATTTTATTTATAGTTACAAATTATTTTCTTTCTAGTCAATAAATTAATTAAAAATATACAATTTTTTGTAAATATTTGCATACTTCATTTCTTTACTATAATTTATTTTTATTTTAATTACTTTAGAATTTGAATTGCACAAACTCGAGAAAATAGAATACATTAGTTGTGAAGCAAAACGAGAATTTATATCTGCTTTTCAACCACAAAAGTTTGTAAGAAAT